CAGCGTGCGGTTGTTGTTGGCATTTGCTACCACTCAGACTGCTTCCCAAGTGCTATCGCTTTTCACGGAAAGTGAATGCGGAGGGTGCGTTGATTTTACTTTTCGGCATATTATGTAAATGCAAAAATACGTATTGGCAAGAGGGGATGAATCCGGTGGGCGCAATGTGCATTCGGAATTTTACTGCTCAATATGTCTGCAATTCGCATTGTTTATCACAGCTAACTGCGTTCTTCATCGATTTTATCCTCGAGCCAAGCGATCCACCGCTAAACTCTGGGTCACCCACCGACGACGAGCCACGTGACTCCTCCGCTTTCGCACTTGTTAATTCGTTGAATCCAGTGCGCATACCGGAAGAGGGGCACAAGAGGAGGAGGAGAAGGGTATTTCCCACACAGATGGCACCGAGCCAACGTCTACAGCATGTTCCAGGACGGTGGGCGAGAGAGCGTTCTTTGCCAGTCTGCTGCATCCTGGACGCCAATCCATTGATCATTCCAAGCGATGGCTCCTATACACCCCAGCGAAAGTGACCAGGTTGTCTCTTGTCCCTCTGCATTTAACCGAGAAAATCTTTCGCCTTTTACTAAAGATTTCCGTGCAGAGGGGCATTTTGAGCTTACATGCAATTTTTGGAAGCCCACTCAAGTGGGCTAATAAGTGCTTCTCGAATTCACAGGTTGCATCATAAAATGTCTTCACACACATGACATTCAAGTGAAATTTTTCTATTCCTGTATTTTCGAAATTGGATTGGTTTGTTCCCCAAGGTCTTAGATTTTGCCGGTGTACCTTTACCACTTACCATAAATTGACCCATAATCTTATGTTTCTGTTTCCCAGAGGGTCGGAGATGTAGCTGATGCATATTTGTTAGTTACCATAAATTAATCTGTAATCGCATGCCCGTTGTTCCCGGGGGACCTGGAGTGTTGCTGGTGGGTTTTTATTAGTTACCATAAACTAAGCTATAATCTTATGTTTTGATAATTCCGGGGTGGACAACTTGGCCTTCAGGTAATGCCGGGATTACTTCCTTTCGCATCCGGAAGGAGCATAACGTCGGAATTCGTGTGTCCCGTATTTCTGAATGTTAGGACACCGGAACTACAGAAAGCCTCGTCAGTTGATTCTTACTATTACCAGGCTACTTCCGAATGCTTTCTTTGCTTGCAGAAAATGAATACGGGAAACACGAGAAATGAATTTGATTTTTGACTTCCAGCTGGCTACACAAAACGTAGGAATGAAGTTTCGCGATTTGTAATTTAGCAGCACAGTGACGGGTTTGACTTCTTGCCTCGTGGCAGTACCATTTCAGCATCGAAACGAATGAAAGAATCGTAGAGAGATTGGTTGTCTCACTGGCGGAGTGAAAATGAGATTGGTTATCTTACTTGCCACTGCGCTATGGCGATCTATGAATAGAGAGTGGTGATGATATATATTAAGTACAATAATATGAAAATACAACTAGGTGAACGAGTGTTAACACACGAAAATAGTCAGATGAACAGGAACACTAGTAGAGAGCCAGAACGCGCCCATCCGAGGAACACTAACGAAATCGCATGTTTTTGTGTGGAAATCGAGGGAAACTACGAGAAACAGATAGCTCAGCACTAAAGAGCCTTGTTCAGCATTTTGCTGGCCCGCTGGCGTTTTTTTTCAGAGATCCCACTTTGCCAAAGACATAACAGGATTTCACTTATAAGTGCACGTATGCAATAGTTTATTCATAAATTACGACAAATGAAAAGTACACGTATTATACGTCAGTGCAAATCACCGATACACTTCCGGAGGGCAAAGATAATTATTTGACTTATTGCGAACCATCGTCGTCGGTGCTACTACTGATGGTACGGAGGCTCGGATTTCTGGGATCCCTTCATCCAGCGCATCTGCGGCCACCAACCAGTCCTGAACTGCTCCGGTTGCTGAGAATTCCACTCCGACAGATTGCCGTTCTGTATCCGGCTCATCGCCCGCCTCCGGTGCTTCCCTGTCCTCGTCATCAAAATTCTCCTTTGATCCATGCGGAGACTGTGAGCTGAAATTGAAAAAGGTTTTTACAAAATGAATGTGAAATTGACAGTAAATTAAAAATCTGCATGGTTTTATGAAACTGACAATTCAAAGTGACTAAAAATTCGTTGATTCCGAAGACAGTATACGCCAGAAAGAAGAGTTGGGCTGGTCGTGATTGCAAGAATGAGTGTCAACTGAACGAAAAAGCAGATCGCTGAATAGTACCAAGGAACACCAGAAAGCCTCCGTGATCGAATGGCTATTTGATATTATGTGGATGAGAGAGGCCCAAAATGGAGAGGAGTGGAGAAGTTGAAAGCTGCACCAGGGACGAGAAGGAATGCGGCGATGAAACAATAGCTGACAGAAGAGC